CATTTTGTCTTTCCCTAGGCAGAGTCTCATGCTGCTAAAAGTTGCTGCTGACTCAGCAGAAGCCTCTCCCTTGGCACCCAGGCTTGGGTCCACTGTATTTCCAAAGTGGAGATGAGCTCCAAGTGCCAAACCAGAGCTCCCCCCGAAGCAGCTGGGTAGGCCCTCAGCTGTCTCTGCAAATGCTGCTGGCTAAGACTGGGCCCTCAGCTGACTTTGCAGGCACTGCTGGCTGCCCGCCTAGCTCAGCTGAAGAACAGAAGAGAGGGTGGGCAGTCTGCCTCAGGCAAGAGCACCTGCAGTGTCCTGCAGCTAACGGGTAACCAGCTACTGGCAAAACACACACCATATTGCATACTGTTGATGACCGCCCACTGACTAAGTTCAGTGCTGAACTACAGGCACTGCACACAGCCACTGAGGACGCTATCACATGGCTCAGCGATTATGCACATGCTGACTGAATGAGTGGGTTAACAGAGCAGCCACAAGGCTTTCCTCTTCCCCTACCACAGCTGCTTGTTTTCCCTGGGTCCCTTGGGAAAATACTGTACTTACCAGTATTTTCATTAAAGATTTCTGAAAGGCAGAATGCAGGAAGAAAAAACAAACACAAGGTGTCCATCTTATTTGGGGGGAGAGGAAAAGAGAGGGGCATATTGTATGTAAGAGAATATGGTACTTGGACAAATTATTTTTGTTTTTTTGTGGGACTCATTTCCCCATCTGTTAAATGGGAATAGCTGAGGCTAGGAATGGCAATTCTGTTTTGTGGAGAATTAAGAGACTTCAAAACCTTTGTTCTGATTTAGAAGGAAAACAAAAACATCTTAAAATTATCCACAAAGCAGAAATAGAAAAAGAAAAAAAATATTGATCAGAAGTTACACATTTTGTTTCAGTGCTATAGGAATGAAGTGTGGCCTGAGGAGGAGCCAAGAAGCATCAGGGCTTTCAGTGCCTTCTCAGCTCTCCAGGTGGGCTGCCAAGGATCTGGGAGCTCAGAAAGCTGGCCTCCCCAGCAGCCCATGGTCATAGGTGGAATGCAAGGGGCTGGGCAGGCAAGCTGGAAACCTGCCTGATTTCTTGCCAATGGAAACTGGTACTTTGTCAAAACCAAACTATATCAACACAGTGTTTTGATTTCAACTAACTGGCAAATTTCAACTGAAAAAAAAGTTACATTGGAACTTTTTATGAATTACCCTAATACCTGTCTTCTACGCTTCATCTGGTTTGTCTATTTAGACTTCAGGACAGTGTCTAAGTAGTATATCTACAATACATAGTACAGTGGAGCTTCTAGACCAGTGGTTTCTTTCACATTTCTATGTAAAAACTTCTATTCTCCAAAAGAGAATCAGATGAGCTGCACTAGTTGTGCATCATACTGACTTTGGCAAACAGGTTTCAGTGGTTGACTGTGTCATATGCTGCTGAGAGGACTACAAACATTGAAGCTGTTATCATGCCTTTCTCAAATCCACATTCTATATGCTGGGTGATGTTTAGTACTTGACTAGTGCAGGACTTGCCTGGTCTAAATCCAGCTTGTTCTGGTGTTAGATGTTGTTTGATATGAGATGAAAGGCAACTGAGAATAAGGTTTTAGTAAAGCTAATAAAGATGGCACAGAAGTAACACTGGCCTAAAGATCCCTGGGCCACAGGCATCATTCCCTGGCTTTAACAGAGTATTACATGGGCTCATTGCCATAGTTTGGGTATTCTAAGGGTTGATAAGTGATTATTAAAAAGGTGTAATACCTATAATTTGGTTGCAGGATCAAAGTGCTTGATCTGTTCTTTGTACTTGTCATTGAGTCCAACTACTTTGCCATCCTTCAGCTGACTTATTCCGGCATCAAGTTGATCCGTTGTTGTATGGTGTACTAAAATGATTTTTCTCCAGATCAGTTTGCCATCTAATCTGTATTTTGAGTTGTTTGTTTGAAGCTTTATCATCATTAAGCAAAAGTTGGTGAGCTACATGGTTTGCTGTGATGTTGTGGTATTGCTGTATTTTCTTTAGGTAGTGACTCAGCTTGCAAATGGATAACCATGCTTTCCTGCTAGTCTGGGTCATATCTATTCCGTCAGTCAATTTTTTCCATTTCTCCTGCACTTCTTGAAGCTTGCTAGTTAGGGCTGTCCTTGCCAAAATAGTGTTTTCTGAGAAAGGTCTCTGAAACAATTGCTGATTTTTTTTGTAGTCAGCTGCTAGTATGGGAGTAAGCCCTGGTATATACTTAGTTCTGCATCCTTGAGGTATGCACCTCTTGGAGGTTTTGTACAGTGCATTCACAAAGAGGTCATCGTTATCTGAGATTGGTTCGATGTGACAAGGTGTTTAGCAGAACTTGCAGATTTGCTGGAATCTGACAGGGGCCACAATGTGAACACTTCTGTTGTGGCCGTTATAGCAGTTGGAAGACATTTTTACATAGAACTGTGTAAGAAATGATGCTGCTGGAGACAACAATAAAACAGCCTCCTACAGAGTAACGTACTAACACGGATCCTTTTTAGCATATATACCAATGACCAACCCATACAGAGTAAATGACAAGGAGCTTCATATATGCTGATGATCTTTGTATGCACCATGTCGCAAGAAAAGGACTTTGCCA